TATACTGTGTGCAGCTGTTTATATTTTTTAGATATCCACTAAGATAGTTATAAAAAATGTATATGCAATTGCATTACTTTGACCTTTTCAGCAACGTCTGAATTTCGCTTCTCGTTCACTTTATAGACTTTGACGAATGCAGCGATGGGACCAGTAAATGCGCTCAGTTGTGCAATGAGCTGAACCTCTTTGAGAACAGCCAGGGATACAACTGCAGCTGCATCGGTGGCTTCAAGATGCAGCAAGATGGCATAAGTTGTCAGCGTGAGTGCACTTGATTGAGACACGCATCTTCTGGTGTAATCGGTACCCTATTTCCCATTTGCCTTGTGTATTTTTACCGTATTTATTCTTGTTGGTGCTACCACAATGAGTACACTATACTATATGTTAAACATGTACTACGCACATCAAACTGTAATGTTTAACATTTCTTTAGAATTGTGTTGCCTGTAACTTGCAAATCGCATAAAAGCAAAGCTAAATATTCTACGTGACAGTATTAAACATTTTAATGTAGTCTTCTTCCGCTCCAAGAAATGTTAACGTAGAAAAATACAGTAAAAGGAAACCTTTACATGTGTTTTGGAATTTAAAGTAATGATGGTCTGTGTGTATACATACAATGTGTAGAGTGGTGATTGGTTGCAATCGTGGCAAATGTCGATCTAAATTCCTGGCAACGTCGATTTAAATTCCTGGCAATGCACATCGACGGCTGGCGATATCCAAATTTGACCGAAGCCTCCCCAAAGTCAACGAGTAGCCGGTCCTGCCCGTCCCCTCTCCTGCTGTGAATCGCCCAATAGCCATCAGAAGAAACAGCCTCCCCACGTGGCAATACCGCAGTTCAATTTCTCATCACGAAATTCGCCCAAATCTCAATTGTGATAATAGCCGCTTATCATATCGAGGAACATTTAACATGCAAACATCTGCCCGAAACATATATAATGTCCCTCCTAAACGTCCGAGTTCATCATAATACTTTATCGTTTCGTTTAACATCCAATTCTATGAACAATGTTAATTAGAGAAATCATATTTAACTGGCAAAAAAATCAAAAACAGTTATTCCTTCTTGTATTAATGTCTCCGCTGCCAAAGCGCATGTTCTGCTCAGCTCCATTAGCTCGCTCAATGTTGAAACCAAGCTCTAATCAGCCATTGTGCGCCTTAACAATGTACAGCGCTACATCGCAACAACACCACCACCACCAAGCGTTTGCAATAAGTTATATATTTTTAAAAACTGTTTTTAGAAACACGCTTTAATGAAATGTACCGTACTAGTAATGGAAGAACTGCACGACTCCAAGAAGTGGCCCCGAAGCTTGCCACAACGTAAGGGACCGTGGACAATTACAGCCAAGCCGAAACATAACATATAAAAAAGAATGTTTAAAAATATTTGTATATATATAATGATAGAATATAGTATTGTCATCAGTATGACATAAATATACCAAGTTTGCAGTCGCTACCACATTGGGAAGTGGGTTAAAATTGAGTTACAAGATTTGAGGATACAACAACAGACAGTGAGTTAAACAAAAGCATGTAATAATAAAAACGGCACCTTTATTCAAGGCATCATGTTTGCAATAACCACAACACAAGCAGTCAAAATGCAAACAAAAGAGACAACTCTGATAATAATATGCACTGTCCTTGAATTGGATTGATAGTGCGCTGTTTTTGAGTTGTACGCCTTTTGGCGTCTTTTGGGCCAACACCAGTGGAGACTAGGCTCTACGAAAAGCTGTCTCGGGTGTGGACCAATCAAATTCAAGGACAGTGCATATTATTATCAGAGTTGTCTCTTTTGTTTGCATTTTGACTGCTTGTGTTGTGGTTATTGCAAACATGATGCCTTGAATAAAGGTGTCAGTTTTTGTGCCAGTTAAAAGGGTAAAACTTATTACTATATCTTGTTACTGGCAAAGGAGGTCTCATAATGTACATGCTCACCCCGAGCCCTCAATACTCTGATAGTGCGCTGTTTTTGAGTTGTACGCCTTTTGGCGTCTTCTGGTCCAACATCAGTGGAGACTAGGCTCTAAGAAAAGCTGTCTCGGGTGTGGATCAATCAAATTCAAGGACAGTGCATATTATTATCAGAGTTGTCTCTTTTGTTTGCATTTTGACTGCTTGTGTTGTGGTTATTGCAAACATGATGCCTTGAATAAAGGTGTCAGTTTTTGTGCCAGTTAAAAGGGTAAAACCTATTACAATAAAAACGACTTCCGTTTTCCAAAACCAAAACGCACTCATCTCCCAACTCCGTTATAGCTATTGATTGGAGTTGTATTGTTCAAAGTAAACAAGTTCATTAGCACTCGTAATACTGATTAAATAACTCGCCACAAAGACGATTTCCCGCGCAAAAAAACGGCAAACAATACAATTCAAAAAAGATAAAGTGCACAATCTCCTACCTGCAATAGCGATCAGAAACACCCTCCATGTCACAACACCGCTGCTAGATTTCTCTGTTGATAGGATTGAGTGCCAGTGTTTATTTTTAGACCCAATGAGTACGAGTATTTAAAAAAAATCTACTTTAAAATTAAAGTTTTAACTGCTCCTATATTAAATTTTGATTTAAAGCTTTCGTGACGCGTTCGTTGTTTCCAATCATAGTGCGCGCATGTACAACAACAACAAATAAGTGCGAGTTAATCGAACTCGCCACTTCAAACCCGCGTTACGTAAAACGCGAGGCGACTCCACCGAGCTCCTGTCAGTCGATTGACATACATTTAACAGTGAGACATTATTATTATTGGAGCTAATGTAACAACAACAACACGCGGCTGAAAGGGCACTTAATCCGCCCAAATCTAAACTGTGCACTTCGGGGGCTAGGGTCCCAATCCTTGATCACCATTGCATTAACTTAAATAATGATTTTTTTTAAACGCACCTTGTTACCCGTCGCTATGAGCATAGTGCTCAAATTATACGTGTCATACGTGTGATTGATCATACGTATGATTGATCATACGTGTGAATGATCATACGTGTGAATGATCATAAGTGTGATTGATCATAAGTGTGATTGATCATACGTATGATTGATCATAAGTGTGATTGATCATGTGTGATTAATCACAGGTGAGCACACACAACGCTGGTGAGGCGTGGTGCTGGCCCCACTTCCTGTGTCCTAGACTGGTTCTTAATAAGTGTTTGTGAACAACACATGCCCACCAACTTACAATGTTAAGTAAGGGATCGCTGTGTGTTTAATTCAGATTATATATATTAACAAATAAAAGGACGGCAGTGTATATTAATTCTGTACCTCGGAGATGTGAATACAAATGCTGCCATATATGCTGTGACTGACCCAAAGTCTTACCTATCTCCATATATATAAAATTCAAAGTTGTGATTATGTGTCTGTTCAAAATGTTTAGTGTACTTCCCGACATGCAACAAACTTGAAATTTGCCATGTGGGTACTTTCTAGACTGTACACCATGCAAAAATTATAAAAATGCAATTTTTGTGGGTGGGGGAGCTCAATAATGCATATTCTTTTTGCACGGCAAGTGAGCTGTGACGTCATATCTGTCATGTGACCCGCGCATGTGGAAGCGTAACGCATTGTAGTGTAGTGGTTAGCGTGCCGCGCTACGAACCCAGCGACCCGAGTTCGATTCCCGCTCACACCCACCACCTGTGACGATTATATGAACCGGTCCTGGGCCTCCCCTAGGTCGACTTAGGTCGACTCAGCCTCAAACGAGTAACTGGTGTGGTGTGTGAACATCGCCAATGGGGAGCCAATAGGCGGCCGGGCGTGGTGAATCCAAGTCCTGGGCGAAGTGGGGTAGTAAAGCTAGTAGCTCATATTTGCAACTTTTATAAGATTTAAAGTACATATTTGAATCGTAAATATAGGCAATGGTCACCAATGCATAAGCAATTTGACCAATTGGATGCAACTGGGAGTGGAGTATCATATCATGGACAGAGCCAAATGGAAGAAGGCCATGATCGCCGAAGTCTTTGAGAAAGGACACGGCTCATGGAGAATAGGAATTGGATAACTAAATATTTAGAATATGACTTCACTGTATCATTTTGATCGTGGGTTGGTAGGCTTGAATAAAGAAAATCAATGTCATTATTTAGAGTACAATATAGTATTGCCCTGCATCAAAAATGTAATCTAAACATTAAATTTCACATTCATCTGTTTTGGCCATCTCGTTACACCCAAACATCACATGTTAGCTGTTTAATAAGTTTACTGAATGTATAAGCACGTACATACAAACAGATATTTTTTGTTTACAACATACTAAATGTATTTACAGACAAATATATAAAAAAATTGCTTGTAAAAGTAATGAGTCAAAGTGTATACATTACTGTACTGTTTCATTACACACGTTACAATTTGAAATGTGAACAATTACACTGCAATACCGTATGGAGGTTAATGCGCTGTATATGTTATATTTTATTTTTCAGCTATTGTGAGCTGCACACTGGCCTGTACCAATGGAAGGTGCTTTATTGATCCCAACACAAAAAGGCCAACCTGCTCCTGTAACATTGGTTTCGTCCTTGATAAAAGCAAGCAAAACTGCTTAGGTGAAACTGGATTCGCCAGCACAGCTGACATAATATTGCACGATCAATCTGTTGTATTTTTATGCTTTCTTCCACCTAATATCCATTCTTAGAGAAGATGTCAGTAATACTGTATCTTTATTTAAAACATTTAAGATTCTCACATTGTTTTAAAATATTATGTTTCTAATCTGATGATTGTGCTTTACGTACCCTCAAACATACCTCTAGACCGGCTGCTTAGCTAGCTATATCATAATAATTATTATGATAAATTCCCAATACCATGTTGTTTAAGCTCAATTGCCTAAAAACCACATGCAATGCTACTGAATGATACATATTTAAATGAATAGATGTTAATTGCAAGCAATGCAATAATTGTCATGATACATTTACAATACTGTGTTGTTTAAGCTCAATTGCCTGATGACTGCGTGCGGTGCTCTTGAACGATACAGATTTGAATGAATGTGAAGAGCAGCCTAAACCGTGTGAGCAGGAATGCTCTAACGTCATCGGAAGCTACAGGTGCTCCTGTTCTCCTGGGTTCACACAGGATCCCGTTGTTGCTAACAGATGCATTGGTACGTGAAAACCGTCACTACGGAGATTTTTCTCAGTTCCACAGCCCTTGTGTTTTTTTCTTTAAACAAACAAAGCATGATCGATAGGGGAAAGGGGTACAGGTATTCTATGGGGTAAAGGGAAGGGAAGAGTGATTGGGATCACTGTCCCCCTACTCACGTAGGGGCAACGATCAGGAATGTGGCATTTTTATGGGAGCGAAAGAAGAGGGAAAGGAGGGGGGATGTACTCAGAACCGCAAAATAAAATAACATAGACACGAAATGAGTGAACTTGTCATTCCACATCCCTTTGTTAATCCACTGACGTTGTTAATTCCCCACATCATCTTGGTCACAGGTTTTTGTTTTACCATACTAGTGCGGTTTGGAGGCTGTGTTGTTAAGGATATTAATTTCATTGGTACAGCAAAATTGAGTTGACAGAAATAAGTTTGACCGAGCCATTACATTTTACATGATACACATGTGTACCATTGTACTATTAATAATTGTTACATACCTGTTACACCTTAATGCTGGGCGGTGGATGCTATGCACGCCTGTAATCCAGGATGGTGGAGGTGAGAGTTGGTGAATCGCACAAAAAATATTGTGAAGCTCCCTTCCCGTGGGCATCAAGGTGCCATACCCGAGGCTCGCCAGGAAAAGGAAGAACAGCGAGTCCAATAATAGCTATCATTCGTTTTGATTCCTTTCGGGGATAAGAGTCTTGCCCCCTTTACACGTTCTCTGGGTGCTAGTGTTTTTTTTCCTACTTGAATAGACACTCGGTAATGGCCTGAAAACATATATAAAAAAATCCCAATGGAGAACCTTCGTGTAAAAAAGAGTCCTAAGGGGTGTTGGGGGGGTCTCGTGGATGAACGAGTAAATCATTATTATAATGAACTGTGTGCTGCTCAAAGGCTTTACTCCATTTTTATGTTTTCTTTTGTTCCCCACAGATGTTGATGAGTGCCAGAGTAATCCTTGCACAAATTCTGGCACCTGTCAAAACATGGTAAATAAATTCTCCTGCCATTGTACCAGTGGGTGGACCGGTGTCTACTGTGATGAAGGTGAGTGGAACATTTTAATTACATCAATGTTTGTGTGGTAAATGCTTCCAAGCATGTGGATGTAGTTTATGTACTTATAATGGAAACAACATACTTATAGAGGCAACAATATGCTTGGTGACATTACTACTACATATTCTACGTGATGTGAGTTTTGTTAATTTCGTATAACAACATTTAGCAGAAATGTCGTAATCAAAATGTATTTTTGTAAAAAAAAGTTAACCGGATGTTTTACATCGATGGGTACATTTCCATGACCTTTCATGTGTGTGTGTTTTTGCAGATGTAAATGAATGTGCCTCTAGACCATGCTCCCATGGAGGGACCTGTGTCAACACACAGGGCTCCTTCTCTTGCACATGTGCACCCGGTTGGAGTGGGAACCTCTGTTCACTGCGTAAGCTGATACATATCCGTTGGCTAGTCTTGATAAATTACTTGCAAAATCACTGAATTGGGAATAACCAGATAGCAACGTTGGCCCCTGCTGGCAGATGAAAGCCCACAAGCAGGCCAGTGTTGCGTGCGCTTAGTGCCACACAGGGACAGCTGCCACTGGGGAGCATCTTTAGCCGGACAGCAGCAGGGTATCAAAATGGTTGAGATGAGATACGATGGAGAGCACTTTTAGTGCCCTATAAATGCAAATCCTTAAACACATTCAAAAGTCCATGAATACTAACAAACATTGCTCTTTTTTGTGTACACGGTTCACGATAGCAAAAACACATTTTCTATATGGGAAATGTAGATGTAGCACCAATGTCTGCACATTGATGCTTTAACACCTATAAACTTCACAAATAAAACGTATATATTAAATACAATTCTACAACCTCACACTGCCTATTTAGGTCTTTTTTTTCCACCAGACATGAAACGGTGGTTAATACGAATGACATTTTGCGTCTCATTGTTGTTTATCTGGAGTGTGCAATGCGGTCCTGTGCCGTCGTGCCGACTGCACAAGTGTGTGTTCACACTGCCCTTTGCTTCCTTTAGTTGTGGATGAATGTGCGTCCAACCCGTGCATCCACGGCACCTGTGTGGATCAGGTCAACGCCTTCTTCTGCAGATGTGACGAGGGGTGGTCGGGCGAGACATGCACTACGAGTGAGTCCTGATCATGCTCGTCTTCACTGAAAAACTTTTTAAATCGAACACGGCTCAGCTTGCCTCACATACATATGGAGTATAACAAAAAAAGTGTCTTTAGCCCAGTACATGTGCTTCGTTCATAACAACCTCCCAAACACCTTCCTGGGGTGCGAGTAGGCAGATGCACTACTACGATAACTGAACGGCAACCCAGGAATAGATAGTTCACTTCTACCCCTTACTATTGATTGTTGTGCCACTTAATGCCCTTAAGCTGAAGTTTAACGGGCACATTTTCAGCTTGTAGAACTTTCTGGCCTTTCCAACATAAAGTTGTTGAATGCTTATACATGAACGTGATGAGTGTGTTTTGGTGCATGTGTTCAGATAATGAATATTATGAAGCACTTCAAAACGCATTTTACATAATGTACTGTACTATATTTTCAAATGAGACACATGTGCAAAATAGTATAGCGCATAAATAAACTGAACTCAACTGGCATTGAGAGAGAAGTAAATATGTCTAAAGGTATGTGTAAGTGAATGTTGTGTGTGTCAATTTGTGCATAAAAGTGGTTCCATCAAAATAATAGTTTGCTGCGCCATGCAGTTGAATAGTGTAATTAACCTTATGTGTGTATAACTGCTGCGTTGTGGTATTGTTTAGACATCGACGACTGCGTGAATACACAGTGCCAAAATGGTGCAACCTGCATTGACATTCTGAAGGGATACAACTGTTCCTGTATGCTGGGATACACAGGGCAATACTGCCAATACAGTAAGGCTCATTTCCCACATTCTTTTATATGAAGTAAAATGTAAGAGTTTTCAACTCAGATGAGCACTAGGCTGTGTTTATATCATACTATTGCATAGCTTTTGTGATTGTGCTGTATACCTCTGTTGCACTTTGTGTTGCTTGGCATGATGTCCAATGTGTATTTAGTTCTCTTAAGAAGATGCTAGCATGTATAGCGAAAGTTCGGACACATCATGCCATGGTGAAGAACATGTAGTGCCAATCAAGAAGACACTGTAGATTTGTGCGATCTCTTTTGGTTATGCTGAGCCATTGGGAGAATTTACACATTCATATGAAGGAGCCCATGTTTAGGTTGACCGCTGTTGTTGAGGAATGTCGAGAAAAGACGACCCCTGACTGGGATTAGAACTCATAAGTATATGAATGTATTGTAAATTATTACTTTTGAGTGACTTTAGTTTAGGGGGTAGAATTCTGGAGTACAAATCCTCACGCATGGGTATGATTTCCAATTAAAATGAATGCCAATGAAAATAATCTTGTAATATTTATCTGATTTCTCATTCCAAAATCTGTGGGTTATTTGGAAGTTGACCATAGTTGTCATACTACAAAATACAATGTGGGCCATTATTTTATATATATATTTTTATTGATTTCTATGAGAAGCAAATGTGCCAGCAAGAGTGTGAATTTGAGTAAATCAAATACTCCACTTCGTGATTATGTCTGCTACACTTTCTTAACATTGTATTCCAAACCTATTATTCTTTCGTAAGGCAGGAGGAAACATAAACAGTTTTGAAACATGTGAAAGTTGAATGCTAAGTTCTTTTAACAAATACAGGGAGGTGATACACGGTATGGATTGCAGTGACACCGCCAGGATGTGCATGCATGGTGCATTCGTCGGTGATGTCATTCTAAACTTAGCAGCTTACTTACCCTATCCTGCCATGAAATTTGTATTATGTTCTGCGCGAGTCCTTATGTATTCGCCAGACGTTTTTTGTCCCTCTCTACGTCTTGTGTTCCTATTCTTAGCTCTTTCGGTAAAGTCACGTTGAAGGGAAACAATAAAATAATAAAATATATATAAAACAATAAAAATTCTCACGACGTCTTGTGTTCCATTGGCAAGTTTGGATTCATGTAGCTGTCAATAGTGTAAATCTTGGACTGTTAAAGTGACATTTACATGAATGATGTTTGTGATTTCTTCATAGATATCGATGACTGCATTGGAAACGAGTGTCAGCACAATAGCACATGTCTGGATGATGTCAATAGTTACATCTGCCTTTGTCCGAGTGGATGGAGTGGTGTTCGCTGTGCAATTGGTAAACATACATATACCATGCTACTTATAACAATTGACGTATAACTACTTATAATACTTATAACATGTACTTATAACAATTGAACATCGCCCATTTACTCGTTAAGCCATACATGGTACTGCATACATAGTTTGAACCGGTGGTTCAGTGGTTGGGGCACTGCACTATAAACCACGTGACCTGAATTTGATATCTGAACCCGTCCTGGGCTTCGCCTTCATCAGATTGTAAATGCTGTATTGTGAAGTATGGTCAAACTACCCCCATTATCAACACAGTGTGGGGAGGCCTTCATCCTGTTCATGGCTTGAAGAAAAGGCTGTACAGTTTTATATATTTTTTACCACATCTAACTTTTTTTAAACTAAACCTGCGTCTTTTGGGAGGCTCTTCTACCAGCAGTGTTGTAAGCAAGCAACTACAGAGCTGCACCTTTCAAATCTCTTAACATTATTTCGGTTTTAGTTGTTATGGTGAAGTTTGAGTAATGATTGTTCTTCTTATGCTGAAAAGAACTTACAATTTGTATGTTCTTCTCATACCGAGAAGAACATACAATTTGTATGTTTTAAGCTTGCTGACCTTCATGAAAATAGTCTAAAATGTGATTTTTGAAGGATGCAATCTCAGCTCAGTACATACAGCATGTCTACATGTATGTAACTGTGGCTGTGTGCACATTGTATGTTTTGTTCAGACATTGATGAGTGCAGAGTTGGACCTTTTCCCTGCCACGGAACGCTTGGGATCTGTACCAACACGCCTGGCTCATACGCTTGCTCGTGCAAGCCTGGCTATGAGGGAGATGGCATTCAGTGCTTCGGTATGCAAACTCTGCTTTTGAGAATAATAAAACACACGATAATTCAATTTCAATAAAGTTGTCACGTGGGTAATTATGCTAATTGCTTTGGTTTGACAGCAAACTGAAATGTTAATAAGCAAGCATATTTTGGACAACTGTATATTGACATTTCGCTGAAGATTACATCCAGCATCAGCAGGTGTAAACATACATATAATACGCATTCCATTTACAATTAATATGTACAAATTCAATATCATGTATATGTAAATTAATTCAATATAGAGATACTCATCTGATACTGATTGCATAAATACCTGACAATGCTGACTTCTGCAACCATGTCTCGTGACCTTTCCAAATCATGAACTAGGGTTTAATAGTTTCTGAAAAAATGATCACTTTCCATTGACGCCTTCATCTAAGCAAGACCTTTTCTATTACCCAAAAGTCAGTTTTAACGTGTAACAATTATATTCACTGTAAGAGTCTTTCTTTGATAGTGTAATTGATTTATTTTCACAGAGAAGAGGCTCTTCGATTATGGGAGAAATGTGTACGACCAAAGTCCATATATTTGGGACACAGACTATGTGTCTCCGTTATTCTCACCACCGTACGGATTTCCATTCGGAAGCAGGTTCTACCAACAGTTGTATGTAAGTAATGTCAACTAATGCTGACAAGATATTGTACAATACATATGTCAACGTCTGAAAATGGAGTTTCATTATTGCTAAAGACGTTATATTGACGCCTTTAGCAATAATTGCTGTTTTGTTGCCCCAGCATTGAGAACATAATTATTAACAATCGCATATGTAAAAATAAAAATAAAAGGAAGGTGCAACTCCTAAATAAATAAATGCATATCTCTTATAGATTTGTACCTAGGCTGTGTGTATCGGGCTGTCCAACACAAGTTTTATCAGTGTGTAAACACTTCTACTAGAGCTTTCTCTAACCATGCGATTGCAATGTGACTGCCATACATTTAAATAAAAATGTCAGAATGTAGTTGCATTTGTATGAAAACGTATACTACAGCAACAGCTGGGTGTTCGCAGTCCATATGATTCGTAATATAATTTTGGGTTAGGCATTGTAAATGTTGTGTATTCACTCTTCAACACACCGGTGGGCTAAAAAGTAGTGAACTATTTGTCTTTTGTCAATGTGACACATTTTTTACTGATTGGCCGTGTCGGGTGGTGGCAAGTTGCGACACATTTATAAATAACGCGATCTAACCCAAAAATCTTTATTATGAATAATACTGGTCACGAAAGCCTGCTACGTGTTAGACTCACATTATGATCTGACTAAATCTGTGTCGATAAACCCTTATTACCTGACATAACCACACCACTTAGATTGTCACATGTACAAGTATTAGTATTGTTTCAGGTCAACCGGTAAGTTGAAGAACAATTCAAACAGACCAAATTTAGCAATTAGATACACAACGTATCGCTTGAAACTGCGTCAAACACCTTCAGGAAAATCCAGGAAATCGGGGAATCTGATTAGCTTACTTTGGTTGTGAGTACCGTTCTTTTTAGCAGGTTTGTTTGACTATATTGGGCGGTGGAGGGTCTGTTGATACGATTTTCGTCAGAAAATGATGTGGCCTTACAGAAAAATCTATTGTCCATACAACTCCATTGATGTATGTTGAACGTCTTTCGCACCGTACGTAGCCAACCGTGCTAATCGGAGGTGCGGGGGAAGGACCACAAACTAAAGACAAAACCAGTTTTTTTTATATAGTTGATACAAGTATATCAAATTTACAGTATTCACACTTTAGTGATGACACTGTAATAACTGACAATACACTTTTAAATTTATTTTATATTAAAAAGTATGTTGTTGGACCGTCCAGTTAGATATCATATACAGTAGAGGTTAGCTATGTAGCTGTGAAGTAATACGGGCTTTGAATTTCAATTATTTCATGGATACGTTTCATACACTTTAAATATGTGGGAAATAATTTGTATAATCATTAAGCAGCTTTTAATTGGGCATGGTACGTCCACCATATAGAGTAAAAAATTAAATAATTCGCCCAATTATCTTGATGAATGAGAAATTCTCATAAAGCATCACGGTGTTGGATGTACACACATACAGGAACTGATTTTAAACCCATGCTGAGATGGCGATGGTGCATGCAGTTTCACGTAAACCAAAAAAACCGTTGACTTGTTCAATAAATAAAAACACTTTTATAAAGCTATAGATAATTGTCTTCAACATTACACCCACTATGTCGAAGTAGTTTTTTTTATTTTAATTGTGAGGTTGCCTAATTTGTGCAATTATTTATATTGCCTAATTTGTGTATTGCCCAGTTCTTTCTTT